TAGGGGGAGGCTTTACCAGCCTCCAACGCCCGCTCACACGGCTACAGAAGGCAGGGCCCCAGCTCCCGCACACAGTCCCCAGCTCACCCGTCACCGTCACCACGAAGCTCACTGCTTCGTCCCCAGCGTCACACGTGTATATGCCACTGTCCGAGGGAGCGGCCGAGCGCACAAGCAGCCTCCGCACGCAGCCCTCCTCCTGCACCGCAATAACGTCGTCCAGGGGCACAGCCTCGCCGTCCTTGAGCCAGCGGACGGGAGCGCCCGGCGGGGACACATCGCCCTCCAGGGGCACGGGCAGACCCGCTTCCGGAGGCGCTGGGCCTCGGGCACCGGGGCGATGTGCGCCTGCGGGGCTGAGAGTCATCACAGAGTGGTGAGAAATGGATCTGGGAAGCTTGGAGAGCTCTTCAGGTCCCAGCTGGGGAGGCCTCAGCAGGCCATGGGGACAGTGTGCAGTATCCCCACGCTGGCCCGTCAGCCATGGGTGCTGCTGGATGCCCCCAGTGGCTGTCCCTGCACTGCTCACCACCTTGGCAGCATGACCTGGAGTTAACCATTAATCTATCCCTACCAGGGAAGCAGGGATGCAGGTTACATCCCTGGCCTAAACTTGGAGCTGACACGCACAAGTGCTCCTGGTGCTATCGTGCCTGTGGTACCAGGACAGCCCAACTCAACGGAGATGTGCCTTGTCATGAGGGCAGAGGGTTCCCAGCCAGTCCAAGCAGATAAGGAACAGCCTTGCTACAGTCCCTGGACTGTATACAATTAAGTGCACAAGGTCTGCACAGCTCCACCATGGCCCACAGCCCCGTGGCTTAGAAGTGCTTTGTGCTCTGCAGCTCCAGCTCCATGGAGCAAAGCTGGTCTTGCAGAAAGCCAGCGCTCCCCAGCCTGGGCTGGGAGGCAACAGCACATGAGAAGCTGCTCCTCCACCTCATGCTCCTAAACTGTCTCTTAAGGAAGGGGTGCTGGACATAGGATAAAGTCCAGGCACCCCACAATTTGGAAGGGGCAACCGCAATCCCTGCTGCATCCTCTGCCCCTGCTGCTGTCCTCCTGGCCTGTCCCCAGCCCTGCTCACCTTGCACCTGCAGCGTAGCTGAGTCCCGAATGCCACTGGACACAAAGGTGACCTGGGCTCCGCTCTCCTCCAGCCGCACTCCCCGGATCAGCAAGGAGTGCTCTGTTTTGCAGTGCTGCACACAGTACCGGCCGCCGGCCCCCTCTTCGTCGCCCAGCCTCGCGCCGTTCAGGAACCAAGTGCCCCGCACTGAGGCAGAGAGCTCCAGGGAGAAGTGGGCATCCTCGCCGTCCCGCACCCGCGCGTCCTGCAGGCCTCTCTCCAGGCGAGCTGCTGGGACTGGAGCAGGGCAAGACTCAGCCCATGGCATGTGTCAGGGACCAGCACACCCCAGGAGTGTACTTCCCCTGGATGTCTGCTGCCCCTGTCCAGCCTCCAGGACCAGCATCTAGAACCCATCAGCTAAGACGGTGCAAGCAGAAATATGCCCTGCAGGTCCTGGGACCAAGGCACAGTGCCATCCCATTTTGTCCTGGGAAGAAGAGTTGCTTGGAAGTGCTCTGGGATGTGCTATTTAAGTACATTGCTCTGCACTGACTGGCTCACAAGGGCATCTGGAGAACCTGGAGCCAGCGGGCTGGTCCCGAAGACAGGTCTAGGGCTCGTCCAGCCCATCTCAATAAGTCCCTAAGGAAAACCAGGTCCCAGCCCAGCCTGAGAGGCCCAGAGAGGGACAAAGGAAGATGCGTGACCCACACGGGGTTGGAGCCCTCACCGAGATGCACGGAGCCGGGGAATTCCACAGGCCCGCTCCTGCCATACTTGTTGACAGCGCAGACGCGGAAACGGTAGTCGGCCTCGCAGGGCACGCTGTCGCCCAGCACCTCCACCAGGCTGGCCAGGTCGGTGGTGAGGCAGTGCACCCACTCGCTGCTGCTGAGCTCCCGCCGCTCCAGCACGTAGCTGCTGGCGGGGCGGTGGTGCACGTCGGGCGCGGGGCACCACGTCAGCAGCGCCGCGTTGCTGTGCTCCGTGCTCATCCTGGCTGCCACCGGGCTGCTCGGAGGGTCCCGCTTCACACCTGCAACCCACAGTCGGCATTTCCTTCTTGGAGGCTGCAAGCCAGGCCCCGAGCCAGGGAGCAAGACAGGGAAAGGGATGAATAGGGAGCTGTGCAACCTCTTCCATGGGGATCTTCTCTCTGATGACAGAGGCTGCTCACACTTGGAGAGCATCAGCTCCCCCGGGGGGGCCCCCCCCACGCCTGCCTCCTGCCACGGGAGGTTGTGGAGCACAAGAGCTAGGGCCCTGCTAAAAGCCTCATTCCCCAATGTACAATCACCACCTCCACGTCCCCAGGGCAGTGGGTGCCCGTCCCAGCTCTCCCCCATGTCAGCCCCTGGTGAACGGGGAGGAGGGTGGACACCGGACCCCCCAGGGGCTTACACTTGACCCGGAGCTGGGAGGATGTCTGAGACTCCCCAACAGCAAAGGAGATGACGCCCGCCTCCTCGCGGGTGACGTGCACCAGCACCAGGAGGTGAGTCCTGCCGAAGCTCTTCAGCACGGTGCGGGACGACTCCTGCAGCTCCTGCCCGTTGCGGCTCCAGCAGATCCCCTTCACCGCCTCCCGTGTCTCCACACAGAAAGCCGCGTTCTCCCCCTCCATGACATCCAGCTTCCGTGGCAACCTCTTTACGATCATCCCTGGGAAAGGGGTCGGGTGAGGGTGTTTGGGGAGCTGGGGGTGGAAGAGGTCTGGGGTGGGGGTAGCAGCAGGCACATGGAGGCATGCGGACGAGATGGGGAGGCAGATGCCGGGAGCAGCAGGGAGCTGCCTGGCCAGGAAGAGGGATGGCGGAGCTAAAGGAGCTGGGTCTGTCCCCACCTCGAACGGAGACCTCAGCAATGCTGCGCCCCTTGTCCTTCATCTGGCAGAGGTAGACGCCGTCGTCGTCAGTGCAGGCGTCGCGGATGGTCAGGCGCCGCAGCACGCCTTGCTGCTCCATGACGTACTTGTGGCTGGGCTGGAGCTCCTTGTCCTCCAGGTACCAGGTGGTGGGGATGCTCTCCAGGGGCACGTGGCACTCCAGCACGGCATCCTCCCGCTCCTGCACCTCCACATCCGCCAGCGGCACCTGGAAGCGCATGCGGTGCTCTGGAACCGAGAGAGAGACGGGTGCTGAGGAATGCACGGGGCCCGCACCCGCACACCGTGGCTCGGCCTCCTCCCCCTGCACCCTGCCCCTTCTCCCTGCCTGCAAGGCTCTGCCCACTTGCAAATAACAGCAAATCCTGGTGTTAACACCAGAGCAAGTCTGGGGCAGGAGGCCTGAGGCACACAGACCCCTCTCTGCTCCTCTCACTGCAAGCCTCAAGCAGCCTTATGTCCTCAGCCAGACCTTCATTACATTTAATTGCACTGCAAAAGCCCCTGCTGCACGTGATGGGCACTGTCCTGGGAAGCAATTTCCCCGGAGCAGAGGGAAACACAGCACAGCAAAGCCAGGTGATGCCCACAGTGTGCTGGCAGCACATCTTTGGGGATGCAGAGACATGCGGGATGCAGGCAGGCATCTCAGCACAGCCCGTGGGGAGGGTGCACGGCCCCAGCTGGGCGCGCGTTTGCGCCAGGCGCCCTGCCACCCTTGGTGTCCCCAGCTGGGGAGGCAGCCCTGTGCAGGCTCTGCCAGAGGGACGGGGCTGCCGCCAGCGCAGACACTTGGCACTGTGCCCCACGAGGCTTCCAGCCAAAGCCGCTCTGTGCTTGCCGGGGAATTTGTCACCAGCACATCGTGCCCCCTCCCTGCTCACAGCCCAGGACTTGCAGCCTCCAGAAACGTCACCACCCTGCTCGCAGCAAGACAGGGGCAAGGGGGACAACCGCAGGAGCTGCCAGCCCCGGGGCAGCCCGTGGCTGCTTCTGGTCCCACCATGGCCTGCACCAGAGGTCCCTACCCCAGAGGCACCTTAGTGCGCCCAGGCGTGCCCTGACCCCCGCCGGCCCTGCACCTCGGGGCACGGTACCTACCCTTCACCTGGAGCTGCACAGCGCTGAGGGTCTGCCCAGCCGTGTTGGAGGCAGTGCAGATGTACAGCCCTTGGTCCTGGGGCTTGCAGTACAGCACCTTGAGGATGAAGTAGCCCTCCCTGTCCTCGTAGATGAGGTGCCTGCGCCCCGGGGCGACCGGCTTCCCGTCCTTCTTCCAGACGATCTCGGGCTTGGGCTTGCCGGTCACGAAGCAGCGGAACTTGGCATGCTTCCCCGCGCTCACAGCGAACGCCTTGGCGCCCGGCGCACCGGCGGGCACCTCGCCGTTGGGCAGCGCCCAGGCCTCGGGCACGCTGCTCTGCGGTGCTGCACGCCGGCGGCGCTGCTGCTGCTCCCCCGGCTGCTCCGGGCCGTTCCTGGGCGACCCGTGGCATTCCTCATCCAGCAGCCCCGGTGCCTGGGGCTCCACCAGGAGCACAGCTGCTGCCAGGGCTTCCCAGGAGCCGCTCCGCGCCCGGCACACATAGACCCCGCTGTCCGGGGGCCGAGCGCTGAAGAGCTTCAGGAAATGCCAGTCCTCAGGCTCCTTCCCCACCGAGAAGTGGCTGCTCTCAAATAGGTCAGAGAGCTTGTGCCCATCCTTCTCCCAGTGCAGCGCCGGGCAGGGCTGCCCTGCCACCCTGCACGTGAACGTCACGTCCTCCCCCCGGCACACCCGCATCGACGAAGGTCTGACCAGGAAGACGGGTGCCTTGTCCTCAGGGTCCCCTTCCTCCAGGGGCTCCGCGGCCTCCACTCTGAGCGTGGCAGCGGCATAGGTCTCGCCGACATTGTTCTTGGCCTTGCAGACGTAGAGCCCACTGTCCTCCGGGGTCACTCGGGACACCAGCAGGCTGTACACGTTGCCCTTGGCCTCCACGTGGAAGCGGCCCGACGGCTCAATGGGCATCCGGTCCTTCTCCCAGAGGATGTTGGGACGGGGGTCGCCCGCGATCTGGCACTTCAGGACGGCGTCAGCGCCGTTTTGCACTGTGAAAGTGCGCGGGTAGGCCAGGAACCTGGGTGCTCCCCCGAATCCATCCATCCTGGCCTCTGCGGTGTCACAGCAGGCGGCTCAGTGGGGCAGCAACGGGGACCATCAACCTGGAGCGACGCATGGACACACCGGGGCTGGAGCACGGGTTCAGCTTCGGCACTGGTGCAGGGCACCTCCAGGAGGCACCTCCAGCTGCACCTATCGAGCGCAGCAGTGCATGGGGCTGCAGGGACGCAGGCTGCCCAGAGCCCTCCTTGCAGCGGCCTGAGCCACCATGCAAGCACCCCACGGCCATGCAGTTTCCCTGACTTGGTACCTCCCTCGATACGCCTCAGCCAAACAACACATTTTTATGCCAGGGAAAGATGGCAAAAGGCAGTGCCCCATACCCCAGGGCCACGGGGCACACAGCCAGGCTGTGTGCGTGCAGGTGGGACCCCCAGCCCCGGGAGCACAGGGCCGCTGGCTGGACGGGCATGGGAATGAAGGCAGCTCCTTACTGCGCCTGGGGGTGCTGGGGATGGTGGACTGGGCCGGGGCTGAGGCAGGAAGGGCCCCAGCCCTGTCCCGTCCCCACCCGCGGGACATTCCTGCAG